ATTTGATAACAGCAGTGTCCTCTTAACTCTCTGAGTCATGTAAAAAAGACAGTAGATGGCGCTGTAAACCAAACAGTTTGTGTTGAGGCCTGAAGTCCAGCCCTTACAGTGGCCAGTTTCTCTCTCCTCCTGGCCTTTTCCTCATCAGCACACCTAGCTTAGTTTATGGACACATTCACTTGATTTATGAGCCAAATACAAATTCGTTTCCCTGAATTTATATCTATTTTAGAACTAAACTGGCCTGTCTCTGCCAGTGACAGTGAAACTAGATGACATGTGAATTTGAGATCAGATGAACCACTCAGATATTTGGGACAAAGTCAATGACCAGTTTTGGATTAGGCTATTTAAGGAAGGAAAAATAACTATTAATAAGTTGATTGACAGTCATGTTTTTTGACCTATATTTGTGCAGTAAATTTATTCTTTTTATAAATCTTCATGAAGTGAAATTTTTATATATAAAATTGTTTTTTCTTCCCCTCTCAGTATTACTTCTAGAGGGGGCAGCAGCTTCATGGTGTCAGGTCAGCATTGGACAGATGCTCAATCTGAACATTCATTTCTAGAAGCATTCGTTTACCCGAGTCTCTTACTCTACTCAAGAGAAAGCCTTTCACAAATGGGTGATTATTGATCCACTTGGATTCATGGGACTCAGAAAGAATCTAGCAGTTGACCACATGCGTGACAAGGTGCACAGAGTCCTGCCTGAGAGGGACTGGCTGACGGGGTGGAAGCCATATGGAGTTTTTGTAAGAACTGAATGTGATTTCCGTAGTACCTCAGTGTAGTAATTTAACAAAAAAAAGAAACACTTGGTGTATAATATGAAGAAGTATCTCTTTTATTAGAGTCAGCACTTTAAAAATCCCTGTTTGGAAAATTCAACAGTTGGTTCCTAACTCTTGAGGATTTAGGGAAGTTTAAATAAAGTCCTAAATGGTTTTACTATCTAAACAGATGAAATGCTGATGGACCCCTACAAGGAATTGTAGTTTCTAGAGTCAGGCATTTTAAATCCTTAGATTACAGTGGTTCTCAACCTTCCTAATGCCGCAGCCCTTTAATACAGTTTCATGGGTTACCACCCACAGGTTGAGAACCACTGCTTTAGGAAGTTTCATTTTTCCTCTAATGCAGCGGTTCTCAACCTGTGGGTCATGACCCACAGGAACTGTTTTAAAGGGCCATGGCATTAGGAAGGTTGAGAACCACTACTCTAATGGCTATGGGAAGTAGAAAGGTTTGAAACATCCAGATATAGTGTTTGCTTTCGATTCATGAAAATTATGACCTACTAAGTGAATGTTATCAGATTAACCTGGCCTTGTTTAAAAGATTCATGGTTAAACGTATTAAAGTAGAAAGTCGTTGTACAAATAATCCGTATCAGAGGCGAGTAAAGCTTTTTGAGGACATGCCTCGTGTTTATTTTTTGGCATCCAGTTTACCTTATGTTTACTTGGAATAATGACAGAACTGCTTTGCATTTGACCTGATTGTAGTGGGGTGAGCCAAGAATAAACTGGCTGACCAAGGGAAGACACAGGAGAGAAAGGACAGGAGACCTGTTTACCTTGGGGGTGATTATTTCTGAGTTTCTGACAGCCTTCTAAGCTGTGAAATAACTGTGTGCAGCAATCCACCAAAGAGAATGAATATGTTTTATTTTCTCAGAAGAGGTCTGAGAGTGAGAGCTGTCCTCTGTCTGGACTTCTAAAGCAGGACGAATGCCTGGGCACGGGTCTGCAGAGCGCTCAGCTGGCGTGCAGGGTGTCAGGGCTGACCACACCCATCACGGGAAGCTGACTACAGAATTAACAGTGAGCTGTGTCTCCACCAATATTGATTCTTAAATATCCCATTAAAGAAACATTGAGCTGTTAATATGGTGAGTTAAGAGCACAGGTGTACTTAATTGGTGTACAGTCCTTAAATTAGGCATCTATTCCCCATCAGCTAAATGTGAGCGTAGGAAGTCAGTGGGTTCATGATGCATGCTTTTCCTGAAGCCCTAGATTTGGAGACTGTAGTTAGCTTATACTTTTCCTCAAGATGAAAGGTCCAGAGGTCTCAGTACTTAGAGAACTACAGGCTCTTGTTCAGGGGCCAGCTCTGTCTGCACAGACACTTGCCACGACTTTTCTGTTGCTGCACCTTGATGGATGAGGCTGTTCCTAGGACCATAATAGCCTTCTGTGGACAGGGTGGCAGGATTGTGGGCACAGGCACAACTGCTCCTCCAAGAGCCATCCCACCCTTACATGTACACAGTTTGCTGACTCTGGATGTTCTCCCTGGTAATAAATTAATTATTGATTATATGGTAATTATTAATGATCAGTTCAGCACTTTTGTGCTTTTAATATCTGGCCACAGGATTAATATTTAACCACTCACATCGGAGCTCTGCAGCATCTCTCTTCCTGCCTCCTGCCCTCCCACCGGCACAGGCTGGGCCCTCTTGCTGTGTCCTTGGTGCCCACCTGGCACTGGGCTCACCTGGCCAGGATCTCTGGATCCATCCAACTCCTGGTCTCCCTCAGGCACCTCACCTGGTGCTAGCCCTGTTCTTCCCACCTTGTCTTCTGTCCCCCTTGCTGTCACCTGCCTTTGGCCTCTGTTCTTCATTCCAGCAGAGACCGCACTACTCAGGCCTCCTGGCCCTCTGCCTCCCGACTGTCTCCTCCTCTCTACTCGCCTGCCTGTCCTCCTGGGGATCGTGGGTGTGGTCTGCCCCAAATCCGCCATGTGTTACTCTCACCACCCCCCTTCAGAGGGTAAAGACCAAGCACAGAGTGGGTGTGTTCTGTGGCCTTTCTGCTCTACCTGGATCCTTCCCTCCTGCCCCCACAGTCCCTCCTGCCATAGATGCACAGGCACTGACCAGCAGGAGGACTGCCCCTCTGTCCCTCTGTGCTCCTTGGCTGCCAGGCCCCCCTCAAGCCAGAGTGTGTTGTCATTTTATTTCGTTGTCTTGTTATTTTCTTTCTCCTGGAGAGACAAGGAAAGCCAAAGCAAGGGCCACCTAAGACCATTTTAGGACAGCAGGAGAGACAGGAAGGGCAGGGCGTCCCGAGAGTCTCCAGGAGCTCATGTGCTGAGCGCACATCTGGAAGGGCAGATGAGTGGCTACAAAACTTGTCCCCAACTTTTGGGTTCGCTCTTCACTGCTCATGTGATCTTGAGCAGGTCATTTCATTCCTCCAGGCCTGTTTCCCCAGCTCTTAACCCAGGTCAATAGTGATCGCTTTATACTATTTTCTAAGGAATAGATGGACTAGGGCTTAATGAATAACACACTACTCCTGTGTGCCAGGCGCCGTTATAAAGCTGATAATAACTAGCATAATCCTCACAATCACCCATGCAGGAACTCTATTGCTAACCCCATGTTAGACATGAGAAACTGAGAAATAGAAACCCCAAGTCCTAGGCCCCAGGAGCAGGGCTGGGGTGGCGCATTCTCCAGCATCCAGTCTTGCTGGCTGTGACCCTGATCCCCTATGTGTTACGTGGGTATTATTTTGGGGGCAAATGAGAGGTGAATTACAAGAGCTTTGGGTGTGGCTTGCCAAGTTGTTTAAAAGGTGAAAGATCTGAAAACACAGAGAAAAGGAGTCAGGATTATTAAAATATATTGGATTACAAATACAGAGCCAATTCAAACCGGCATAAGCACAACAACAACAACATTATTACAGGGATGTGGGGGTGTTGCACACAACTTCCCAGGCTGGGAATGCAGCCATTTTAGTAGCCCCTGCCCGGCCATCCTGGCTCCCCATCCCCTCCTTGCCTCTGTGTGTGCCGGGTTGCATCCCTGAGTCTCAGTGTTAGCATACTCTAGACAGTGGTTATCAACCTTCCTAATGCAGCGACCGTTTAATACAATTCCTGTGGGTTGAGAACCTCTGCTCTAAAGAGACAGAGCCAGTGAATAGGATGCATACATAGCAATACACACTTATTTTAGGAATTGGCTCGTGAGATCTTAGAGGCTGGCAAGTCTAAAATCTGCAAGGCAGGCTGGCTGGCTGAAGACCCAAGGGAGAGTTGCAGTTCAAGTTTGGAGGCAGAACTCCCATCTTCCTTTGGGAAGTCACTCTTTTTCTGTTCAGGTCTTGGGACTGATGAGATGAGACCTGCCCACACTAGGGAGGACAATCTGCTTTATGCAAAGTCTGCTGGTTTAAATCTTAATTGCTTCTTGAAAAATACCTTCACAGCAACATCTGGTGAGGTAGTTAGCTAACGACTGGGTACTGTGGCCCAGCCAGCTCGGCACATAGATTCCCCATCCAGTCTCTGGGGGCACGTCCCTCACTGTGGGTTTTCTGCCATTCTGTCTGGCTTGCTCCCTCTGACACTGCTGCTCCTCTCACTGCATCTGTCTCATGACTTCCCAGTGAAGACAGGCTTCTTCTGCTCTCTGGGCAGTTGGGGAAGCGGGTGCACTCTGGGATGTGCTGTAGCAGCTGCTGCTCAGTGACCCTCTCTGCTATGACACTGACTGCCATTTAGCCTTATGGGGCCAAGGCTAGTGTCACTGTTGGGTGCTGCTCTGTTCTTGTCTCTTTGTTTTACTTCTAGAGTCTGAAGGAAGGGGGAGTCCTAATCACCAAAGATACCTGTGGTCCAGCTAGCTAAGTCCAGGCCAGTAGACCACGTTCTGTGGCTGTGGCTATGTGCAGCCACAATGGTGGTGTGCAGAGACAAGGGCGCAGACAGGAGCTGAGCGGGTGCTCCTTAGAGACAGGCGGACATGCGGTGGAACCGTAATTACCCAGTTGCCTCTGGGTGTCAGGCACTACTGATAAACGCAAGACATGTGCGTCCTTGTGGACTTCACATGTTCTCACTTAGGCTGCTCCGCCCTTATACATCTGAACGACACTGCTGTGTTATGGAGGCTGATCACCAACATGTACATTTGGCCTTGATCCCACGCCTTGGCTAAGCCTTCTTCTTTCCTCTCACCTTTTCTTATCCAGAGGATGATGTGGACCTGGAAGCGCTGGTGAATGACATGAACGCGTCCCTGGAGAGCCTGTCCTCAGCCTGCAGCATGCAGTCAGACACGGTGCCCCTCCTGCAGAACGGCCAGCATGCCCGCAGCCAGCCACGGACCCCCAGCACTCGGCCCCTGCAGCCGCAGGCGTCCCCGAGGCAGAAAGTGCAGCGCTCTCAGCCTGTGCACATCCTCGCCGTCAGGTGGGCCCGGGGTCTGAGCCTCTAAGAGCCAGGGCTGCCAGCAGACCAGAGCACTGCTGTCTCCTGGTTAAATGGTGCTGGGAGGGGGCAGTGTGGGCCGTGTGCAAGCAGGAGGCAGATAAGTCCCTTTTATGGGGTGATGGCTATGGTGAGTATGCAAGGTGTGCGGTTCCAGTTCAGCTCCAGTCTGTCCACTGAGCGCCCAGGTGGGCCAGCTCCATGCTAGAAGGAGGGGCCTTAGGAAAACCATCAAACTAAAGATGCTTGGGACAGAATGAAGGAATGTCCATTCAGTCAGCTGAGTGCCCAAGTCCTAGACACTGAGTAGGGTATGGAGACCAGCAGCAGCCATGTTCCCTGGGGTTTGTCAGAGGCGCACTTCACCATGCTCCCAGCATACTTAGCGGGAATCATATCTTCTCTGTGGGAACAGAGCGGCTGCAACAAGAAACTTGGCTGGGGACATTGGGGAGCTTGCCTGGTGGTGGCAGATCTCTGAGCTGGATGTCCAGGGTTTAGGAGGAGCTCTGATAGGTAAAGGGAGGTTTCCCGAGCAGAGGAGGGAGCAGGTCCCGGAAGACAGGAAGGTTTTAGACGGGTGAGTTAGGAGACTGTGGTTGGGTTTTGGCAACATCTTTCTGGCTGCCTTGTGTTGAAAGGCAGCAAGGTGGACAGAGCGCTGCCCATTTGGGGCCACCAGGCTGGAAGGGATAGTGCTGGCCAGGATGAAGAAGGAGGTAGGCTCTGGGCGCACCGCAGAGGAAGAACAGCCAGGTTTTATCTACCTTGAACTTGGGAGGGAGGGCACTGAGGTATGGAACCCAAGTGGAGGGCAACTCAGACTGCCTCAAGTGCCTGAAAGGAGGTGTCCAGAGAGCGTATTAGGCAGTCCTGAGGAAGGGGAACCTGTTGAGAGCACCTTGACACTGACTCTGTGAAGTCAAGCTGAGACCTGGGGCTGCTGGCACGGAGGTCTGCCACCTACCCCAGGCCATGTAGGGATGGGCGAGGGCCACCAGAGACCACACCTGCCATTCTGAGCCTTCTTAGGGACACTCAAGTGGTCTCTGCCGGGGTTCTCCCCTTCCCTCACCAGCCTCTGTCTGCTGCTCTTTCCTTACCACTGCATCTTGTGGACAGCTCCATTCTTTGTTTCTAGGAACTGCTAAGCAGTTTCTTTCCCGATCTGACACCTTGAGTCTTCTGCAGCACAGACAGTCGCCTCATGGGCTGCTCTTTCTTAGGGACCCAAGCCTGGGGCCTGTGGTCAGTTGCCTCTCAGGCTTCTTGGTTTTTGTCATGTTCATTCACCAGCATTGGCTTGGCACCTCTCCCAATGTGTGTTCACTTTTACTGTTTGGAGAATAGCCCAGAGGGAAAACTGTCTTAGAACCTGTCTCGGGCCCTGAGGAGGGATGTCTGGAAGGAGAACTTTCTCCTGTGAACTCCCAGCATCGCTCAGTTGCCATCCATGGTGGTCTGGAGGGGCACCACCACCTCGTTAGGATGACATGTTGCTGCTACTTGGTGAAGGTGCTCCAGGGCAGGTTGGTGGAGGCCAGTGGTGGCAGAAAGCCTGGCTCCCTGTCAGAGCCATTGCCCAGGACCCTGGAGCCTCGAGTTGAGGCCTGGCTCCCCCGTGTGCCCTGGGCTGCCTGCCTGCAGAGCCACCCCCTGCAGGGCCAGGTGCTGTTCTTGGGCCCAACCTCTCCCCTGATGCTCTTTCTGATAAATAGTTGTTTATTACCTCCAAGTGAATTTAAAAATGTGGACAGCTATCTAGAATCACCCAAAGATGCACTGTGAAGTAAGGCCGTGTGCCGAGCGCTTGCAGAGTGCAGGCTGTGCTTAGCACCTTGTTTATTAATGGGTGTTAGGGCCAATCAAAGCCTTACCTTAGGCTGCTGTGTGTGTTACCCTAACTTCCCGAAGATGAGGGAACCAACTCATCTTCGTTGGTTGGTAACTAGGTTGGTTGGTAACTAGGTTGGTAACTAGGCCCATACCTGGTAAGCGAAAAGCAGGCTGGAGACCCCGGCTGAGGGCGGTATTAGGTGCTGGAGGGGCCAAGGAACACAGCACATACAGAGGGAGTCACTGTGACTGCCCTGCCCCCTCAGGGAGCAGGTGAAGGCAGGTGGCACAGAACAGAAGTTTGGAAAAGGCTGAGAAGGCCTCACAGACACCTTGACAGAAGAGCTCATTTTTTTTTTTTTTTTTGAGACAGTCTTACTTTGTCACCCTTGGTAAAATGCCTTGACATCACAGCTCACAGCAACCTCCAGGGCTTAGGCGATTTTCTTGCCTCAGCCTCCTGAGTAGCTGGGACTACAGGTGCCCATGGAGCTCATTTTTTAGGGAATAGGGGCCTAGGTGAGAAGAGAGGAGACCACGGGTGTGTTCTAACCTGGACAGACACACGGGTGGGGCAAAGGCATGGACAGCTACAACAACCCCCCGTGCTGTTCCTGCGACTGTCCCTGATACCCCGAGATCTCAGCACCCCCTTCACAGGGTACAGCACCCCTTTTCCTTGTGGCATTGTTGGGGATGAAACTGCTTCTTGTGGGCCTCTTTACCGGGGTTTTTTCATCCCTGTGTGATGCCCTGTCGTTTTGCTTTAGGCAATGCATGTTACTACTATAAAGCCAACACGGTACTTCTTAAAATGGCCAAAACAACCCAATAAAGAGAGAAGCTTTTGTGAGCAAGTAAAATACCAGACTATCCATAGATTGTTTTGAAAAAAAAAATGAAGCTGTCGTTTTTTGAGGTTAAGTCACAAGTCACTGGTTGAAGGCTGTGGGCCGGGATATATTGAACATGGTACTGGCTGTGTTTCTTGGTCGTGTCCTATATGACAAGGGCCAGACATTTCAGCAGGACATGTTGCCAAGGCCAAAGCTGTTTTGGGAAGAGTGGGATTTATTAGCAGTAAAAATAAACTTTCTGGTACAGGCCATCATAGAAATGTCTTTCCTATATTTCACAATACTGATTTCCTTCATTCATGCCACATGGGTTTTTGTATTTTTAAATCAGTGCATCATTTCCTAGTCTATGTGGGCTGGCTAGCTAGGCCTTCCTTTAAATCAAGGTCAGTTGGCAAAAAGAAAAAAAATGGTCACAGAGTGAGTTTCTTCAGTGGCAAACTTCCCAGGAAACTAATGGACTGTTGACTTTGTCAAGTTATAAAAATAGTCAAAAAAGAAAATTATTTGAAGACACAGCCTATACCAAGGGTGTCTGGGTATATTTAAACAAGGAGTAGGACTGGGAGTGCTGAGCAGAGATAGGGACCAAACCCTGCAGCTGGAGGTTTGCTCCCCTGTCCTGGAAGGTAGAAGTCTGTGGGTAGGTTGGTGTGTACTCAGGAGTGGATGGGAGAGATCATGTCCCAGGGGAGCCCTGGAGACGTGGGCAGGAAGTTGGGAAGGGTGATTTGACATTGTTCTTGCTTTATATTTGAACTTGATTTTTCTGCTCCTTTTATAATTGGATCCAATTCATCATCTGGTGCTTGTTTTGCTTAGTTGTATGACAAGTGAGTTTTACATTTTTTGGAGAAGGCAGCAGGTGCCTCAGGAGAAGTGATAGGATTATAGAGCTGATGCAGACTCAGCCAGGTAGATCCTCCCAAGGTGATGTAGACACGGGCCTTGGTGCTCTGGGAAGGTAGATGACATGAAGCGATAATTTCCAGTCAATTCTGTTGCAATGCTTTTCGTATAAGTAAGCATTCATCTCACAATTCAGATGAGGACACACAAAGCCTTTTCTCGTGATTTTATTTGCTTAGATAAATGTTCATTTTTAAGGACATCGAAAAATATACTTATTGTCAGGACAATGCTGCTTTAAACCTTTTCAACATCAGGAATTCAAAAACTGAACAAAACTAAGGAGGTATGTGGAGGATTGCCCTCTGCCCACCACACGCTGAGCCTCCTCAGCTGTGAGTGCACATTGGGACGGCAAAGCCACACTTCCTCACCCCACAGAGGTTTAACCAAAGAGGCAATCAGTGTTCTGTGGTGGATTGAGAATGACAGCATTTAAGTTTTCATTTTAATCCTAGCACTCTGGGAGCTCTCTTGAGTTCAGGAGTTTGGACCAGCTTGAGTGAGAGTGAGGCCCCATCTCTGCTAAAAATAGAAAAATAGTGGGGTGTTGTGATGGGTGCTCCCAACTACTTGGGAGGCTAAGGCAGGAGAAGTGAGGAGCCCAGGAGTTTGAGGTTGCTGTGAGCTATGATGCTATAGCACTCTAGCCTGGGCAACAGAACAGTGAGACTGTATCTCAAAAAAATAAAATAAAATAATTGTTTAGTTTTATTTTTAGTTGTGGTAAAATACATATAACAGGCTGGGCATGGTGGCTCTCACCTGTAATCCCAGCACTCAGGCGGGTGAATTGCCTGAGCTCCTAGGTTCCAGACCAGCCTGAGCCCGAGCGAGACCTCATCTCTAAAAATAGCCGGGCACTGTGGCGGGCACCTGTAGTCCCAGGTACTAGGGAGGGTGAGGCAAGAGACTCGCTTAAGCCCAGGAGTTTGAGGTTGCTGTGAGCTGTGACCCCATTGTACTCTACCAAGGGTAGGGTGACCAGATTTTAACATCTGTAAGGCAGGACAACATGGTGGGGGGCAGGGCAGGGACAGGGCAGGGCAGGGCCTGACAATAATACAAGCTTTGATAAGCAGTTCTCAATAATCACTTCTCAGCAATTATTTATTATTACAGTTTAACATTATAAAATTAACAAAAATAATATAAAACTCATATTCTGGCGAAATAGCCACATGGCAGCCGAAAGCTGTATATTCCTTTCCTGTTCTCCGGCCCGTTCGTGCATTCTTTCCAAAAATTGGGACTTTTTTAAAATGCTGCAGGTTGGGGACAAATTGTTGAAAAGCGGGACATCTGGTCACCCTAACCAAGGGTGACAAAGTGAAACTCTGTTTCAAAAAAAAAAAAAATACATATAACATAAAATTTACCATATAAACTATTTTTAAGTGTGCCTGTGAGTAGTAATGTGCGCTCACACACTTGCTCATACAATATGCAGGCATTTTTGCTCTTATTGGCCTGTTCGTTTTCTTCCATTAAATACCCCCATCCCCAGCAGCTCCGTTCCTCTGCCGGTGAATCCACCTCCTCTGCAGCCCTCACATGCATGGCCCTGTGCAGTGTGTATCTTTTTTGGACCGTCCTGTTGCACTCCACAGTGTCCAGGTTCACCCACAGGGCAGTGTGTGTTGGGATTTCCTTCTGTTTGATGGCTGAGCAGTGTCCTTGTGTGGATAAACCCCATTTGTCTGTCTATTCACCCGTTGTTGGACACTGGGTTATGCCCGCCTTTGGGCTGTTGTGAACATAGGTGTACCAGTCTCCTAGGAGCCCCGTTTTCAGCTCTTTGGGGTGGACCCCAGCACTGACAGTGCTGGGTCACATGGGCAGTGGCAGCTTTTAACAAGCGCCTGTCTCTTGCCCTCTAGGCGCCTTCAGGAGGAAGACCAGCAGTTCAGAACCTCGTCGTTGCCGGCCATCCCAAACCCTTTCCCTGAGCTCTGTGGCCCTGGCAGCTCCCCTGTGCTGGCGCCAAGTTCCTTACCTCCGACCCAGGCTGCTGCCAAGCAGGTGAGTACCCCAGGCTGGAGCCCAGGCCGCGGGAGCTCCAGAGCTCGGCGGGCTCAGTGCTTTGAGAATAAGGAGGGAAATTATGGAAGTCTTTGCTCTTGGTCCTTTTTTTGCCACTGTATTTGTTGTCTTATGGGTTTTTTTTTAATTTGTTAGTCAAAACTCCACCTACTGTGTTCAGGATATATCTGTATGCTTTAGAAAGAATCTAACCTCATAAAAGTGGGAAATGGTAATAATAATTTGATGCTCAAAGATGAACTTTACTTCTTTGACGGAACAATTTGTCACTAAATTATCCTCACTTAATAATTGTAGGTAAATTAGGTATGAAACCACTAGGCTCACTCAGACACCTGAAAATTTGCATATTGTAGTTCTGATTCTAAATTTGATCTGCTCAAGGCAAAAGTGTTTTCACTTGGCCCAGAACCTACCCTTTTGAACTTGTAGTTCCTATTTTAAAATAGGTCTGTGAAGTAGATACAGTTGTTGTGTGGCCATCTCCCCCAGATGAGGAAACGCAGAGAGTTTCAGTGACTTTGCCAAGGTCACATAGCCAGTAAGTCAACTGAGTGGAGAGATGGGTTGTCAGGAGCTGGAGCAAAGTGCCTTACCGGCTCTGGAAGGAGAGCCAGGAGGGGCGGTGGTGATAGTTATAACAGTAACAATCTCTAGTATTTATTGAATGATTTCCAAGAGCCAGGATATGATCTATGTGGTTTGTGTTTGTTTATATGTTTGTTTATTTCTCAAACCAACCATATGAATTGAGTAGGATACTTATATTCTGCAGTTGAGGAAACAAAGGCAGAGCGGGGAGGCCTGGCCGAGACCCAGGGATGGGGCTGCATGTGAGCTGGCCTCAGGGTCCAGGGCCTGAGCCTGGAGCCACCACATTCACCGGCTTCCTAGGACCTGGACTCAACTCCTTCTAACCACATGTGGTTTAGATGTTCGTTTGCCTTCTGCTAGAATCGTTCTCTCCTCTTCCTCCCTGCCTCCCCTTGGCTGCTCCCAGGCAGGATAGGCCAGCAGTCCCTTCTCCACTCAGCCACCTGTCCTGTGCCAGCAGGGTCTGTGCTCGGCAGCTCCTGTCCAAGTGCTGCCCCCCTTTCTGACCGCAGGCAGCATCATAGCGCTATCAAAATTTAGAAGGTGAGGTAAGTTTTTCCCGCCTGGGAGCCAGCGCCGGCTGGGCTATGGCTCTTCGTCACATGCCTGAAGTACATCTGGGATGTCCTCCTCCCTAGTGACCTTCTGTTTCAAATAAGGATCCAGACAAACTGTCTATGGATTTGTCACTGAGGTTGTTTACAAAGTTACCCATCCTAAAATAAGACCGTAAAAATATTATCTGGCCCTCTTAGCCACTGGCAAAGAAGACTGGCCTCCACCCCTGTGGATTGTCCAAATTTGTAAGCAGAATAAGGAAACCGGGGAATTTTGCCTGCTGGTAGTTTTCTTGGGACCTGAGTCAGTTCCCGAGGAGAGCATTGCCTTGGTGTCTGTGCATGTTGCCCAGATTCCTCAAGCCTCCTGGGACAAGCCAGAACAGGAAAGAGGTTTCTCACTTAGTACTCACTACTTGTAGAAAGTTATTGTTCTTTTTTTTTTTTTTTAAAGTGCTCAAAGGGACATTTCTTTATTGCACTTGATTCTTCTGCCTCTTGATCTCATGAAAAGTGTTTCATTGGTGTGGCTGTGGCTGGCAGTAGGTGCCAAGCAATCTCTGGCCTCTGCTGAGACCCATTTGGTCGCAGGGAGGAGATGAAGCTAGACACAGGTTTGAACCTGGTCCTTGCCCTTTTCTTGATGGAAAGAGAAATCCAAAAACCTTTGTCATTTTGTATGAAGCCAGAGGACATAACGCTGAGACCAGCATCCACTCAAGAGCTCTGAAATAGCAGCAAAGTGAATGAAGCAGCACCACGTGTCAGGACCTACACACGGTGGCTTCAGTCAGTGAATGTAGTAAGACAGGAGAGCATAAAGCTCTTTGGAAGAGAACGGAGGAAAGTGGGATGAGGAGGAGACTCTCAGCCGCATCGTTGTGGTCACTAGTAAGAAGATTCATGGTCCCAGCGGGGACGGGGAGGAAAAAGCAGAGATGACATAAACATCCCTGCCCAAGGAAAACTGCTTTCTGCCCCAGGTTTCATAGCCAAAGCATTAAACAGTTCCCATGGGGGTGAGTTAGTAGCTGCTCTCCTCCTCTCTGAGTTTCCTTTCTGAGTGACTCCTTGGTAGCTGCGTAATGGGGCAGGAGTGGTCAGAGGCTGAGGTCCAGAGAGCAGTGGCCATCAGTGGACTGGGGCTCCTCCCACACACCTGTGGCCGGGACAGGGCACAGTGCCAGGGTTGTGCTGCTATGTCCATGGGCTCACTTGCCTCCCTGAGACGTGCAGTATGCAGGCTCAGTACCTGAGAAGGCCGGGGGCTGCAGGACTCCAAGAGAGGAAGGCGAAGGGACTTCAGCAGGGAAGTATAGCAGGAGGAGTGGCTTCCTGCACACCTCTCCCAGGGGCACATAGAATTCGTCAGATGTTGCCTCCCACTGACTCTCTCCCTTCAGCTGTCACTTTGAGTCCCTGTGATGTTCCTGGTTTTCTGCCAGTCCCTGAGACGAAGGTATTGGCTGCAGCGTGGGCCCCTCTCTCTAGGAGCTAGTGTGCTGGTGACGGTGAGAGGTGATCTGAGACGAGGCAACTGGCGTGTGATGGAACAAAGAAGTCATACTCTTTCCCAGGAGGATGGGGAATCTTCCACAGCTACCCCGAGTCCTCCACCTGGGGATCCTGGAGGCTGTAGTAGTCCCTGGCAGTATCTGTAAGTTTTTCCATGATGACTTCACTCAGGTTTGGACCCGACTATGGCCAAGTTCTTGCCATGTGCTGTGCTAGGAGGGCTCAGGGGGCTCACCTGAATTACCTTCCGGGTTCCAAACAAGCATCTCTGATCCAACAAACTGAGCAAAGGGAACAACTTCTGATGGGAGATCACTGAGCCTTTCTGCCTGGCTCACCTGCATCTGCCATGCGCCTCCTCACATCCAGGGTCTGCTTCCTTCCCTGGGCCTGGGGTCCTGCTCAGATGCAGCGCAGGGCGGGGCTGACCTCAATAGCCCTGGCCTGGCTTGTTGCAGCCTGCAGCTGGGTGCCACCTGCTCTGGAGCCCCTCAAGTCTTTAGCCAGGGCACCCTGAGCACAGCTGTACAGTGTACTGCCGGTCCCACTGCCTGGCAGTCAGGCCCTCAGTGGATGGAGGTGGTGGCCTGGAGCCTGTGTACCCGGTGACTTCTGCCCCCTGTTTGTGGGTCCTTCCTGGTGTTTGGGGTGATCATGAATAATGTGAGTAGTTTTGGAATTGTTTGTCTTAGGCTCAGGCTTCTTGAATTATGTGTTTTGTTTTATTTTATGAATTTGAAAGCAACAAAGTTTTAGTTTGCTGATTAATATTTTTAAGTGAGAGTCTATCGTCTGTGCATTTACCTAGGGTTATACTCTGTGGCTTTGCAGGTAAAATGAGAAAGCGCACCACACCTGTTCATGCACAGGAGATGACGGTTAGTGGAGGGAATGTCCCCTGTGCTCCCCCCAGGCACAGTGATAGGATTTCACATCGTGTCTGTTAGTGATGAGCACGGTCTTCCTTGGTTATTTTAAATCAGATGAATGAATCTTATCTGAAGGTATAGCTTCCATCACTTATCTAATAACTTTACTTAACTGATTTAATTTACTCAAGTTGTTTACTAGTATCTCATCATTGATTTACTAAAAATGCACATGCCTAGGAAATTCTATTCAAGTTCTTTTTTCTCCAGAGGGTAGTGAAATCTAATTAGTATCAGTAAAGCTGGATTGTTGTGGTGAAAATCAACAAGGCATTTGTCACTGCTTTGTGACTCATTTGAAAAGGACAGGCTGTTGTGGAGGGTTCTGAGCCCATGAGCCAAGCTCCATGCCCCACCTGGACCCCAGCTTGGAGGGATTGAGCCCGTGGTCTCCTTGGTACCCCTGGGCTCCATGGTGAGGTTCCCCCCACCAACTGAGTGCCTCAGTTGACCTGGGTCCTGCTTTGTGTCAAGCACACAGGGAGGGGCCTTCCTGGCCTCAGATTCACCTGCCCAGCAGCTGGTCCTGGCTGTGCTACTGAGTCTTGCATTTGTCTGACGGTGACTGTAAGTGCCTACTGTGTTTGTGACTGGTGCCAGTGACAAGGGTGCAGCAGAGGCATGTGGTGGACACCGTCCTGAGCTTCTGCCAGAGCCCAAGAACTGGAGTGGGGCCTGATTGGGAGCCTTCTTCCTGAGCAGGCTCCTGTCTGCTGCCAGCACATCTAGTTGAGGATGTGGCCATCAGTGTACCTGGGGCCAGCTCGTGGGCTTTGGGAGGGAGAAGCACTACAGAGGCAGGAGATGCTCACACCTACAAATCCCGGCCCTCTGAGAGTCTGAGGCAGGTAGATCTGCTGAGCTCTGGAGTTCGAGACCAGCCTGAGCAAGAGCAAGACCTCATCTCTACTAAAAGCAGAAAAACTGGCCAGGCATTGTGGTGGGCACCAGTAGCCCCAGCTACTGCAAAAGGATCAGTTGAACCTAAGAATTTGAGGTTGCTATGAGCTATGATGTCACAGCACTCTACCCTGAGTGACAGAGTGAGACTCTGTCTCAAGAAAAGAAAGAAACTACCTAACCTTCTCCCAGACACACGTATGCTGCAGAGGCCCTAAGAGGCAGATCAGCCCTGCCGTGGCTCAGCCCTAGTGACTATGTTCTGTTGCACCTTTTAGTGTCACAGGAAAGAAAAGGGGAGCAATGTGTTGCTTTGCCCCTGGGGTGCCAGGTAAAGCTCTGGCAGGCTCCAAGAAATTGCATGGAGCAGTGTGTGTACAGAGATAAGTGGTTGCTCAGGCCTGGGCTTTGGGACCTCCCTGTGGGATCTTCCCAAAGGTGACCCTGGTCCCAATGTTTTGAACCTAGCTGTTTGCCATTTGAG